GGAGAGTATGTAGATTAATTCTTTGACTCTGAGGAGCAATTGAGATTAGTGTGGAACAAATTCTCAGGGGCTCCTCAAGCTCCAAATTTAGTCTCAAATACTCCTCAATGGTAGAAAGACAAAATTATCCTTAATGAGGGTTGATTTCGGGTGATAAGGGTTAAATACAATTAAATCGGTAAGTGTTCAACGAAAAACACAATAGCTCAGTGGTTGAGAGCTCCATGCGCACGCGCGCGCCCCCAGGGTTCGAATCCTTTTATACGGGTTGTAACTGGTACAACTAGGGAATATTCGGAAATATTCTGGTACAACTAAGTTGTGGTACAACTGAAGTGATAATTTTTTTAAATATAGAAGTTTTGAAATAGTAAGGAGAATTTTTCTTTTTTTACATCATTTAGATCGACAATATCTAACCTATAACATAATACACGGGGTAACATGACTATATGGTATCTTGTATCATAGTAGTAAGAGAATGAGGTATGTTAAAAATTGGCGGTTTAGTTGTAATACCAATTGGTAAGAGATGATTATCATACATATCATCATTTCTCCACCATTCTTCGAGATTACCCATAACATTTGCCTCAAACTTTCTACTTTATAATTCATCTATGAAAAAAAAAATTTGAACCTTTTGTCCTACTAGTTTTTTTTCGTTAGCCCGATCCTTGCTTGGTCTTGCAACCAACTTTACTTTTCATAGTCAACTCCTTTCTCCATATGCATTCAATCATTTAAAGTTATTCACCTTGTGATGTGAGACAAAAATCTCTTTCTTGAGGAGATGTTAAGAATTGTTTCAATTTTATTTGGAGTAAAAAACACATGTAACTAAAAATTGATGTAACCATTTTAGAAAAATATTAAACATTAAACATTAAACAATTTGAATCAATCACAAAAACTAAAGAAGAAAATATAAGAGCTAATATGAGTCTAAGATGTAAGTAAGAGTCTATATATATTAGTACAATAATGGAAGTTTTAGTTTACCATTACAAATTAAAATTATGAAACTTCAATGCCTAAGTTAATGCTAATTTTAATGTCCATTATCGTTGGTCATTTAGTCTTCTTTAGTCCATGTCTCTTTATATTGTAGTCATTAAATAATTTTGACTACGTTTTCTAAAAGTTGGAGGAAAAGTGTATTTACTTGTCTCAAATTATATTAATTGGGTAGTTTATGATTTTCATTAAATATGATAACTATGAAAAAGTTAACGTTGGTCATTTAGTCTTCTTTAGTTCATGTCTCTTTATATTGTAGAGTCATTAAATAATTTTGACTACGTTTTATAAGAATAAAAAAAGTTAATTGGGTAGAAGTGTATTTACCTGTCTCAAATTATATTAATTGGGTAGTTTATGGTTTTCCTTAAATTTGATAACTATGAAAAAGTTTATATTATATAGAAAAAAATTAATTTTTAATTATGCTACTTGATTTAACTACATAATGAGAAGATAAAATAAGGCAAAATCTAGGAAAAATACAACTTCAAAGTATACAAATTGCTCAAATTGTATCTTTGTTTTCTTTTAGTAAAATAAAAATTTATTATAGAAATTTAGTGGGGATTTTAATTTGAAATGTGCAAATTACATAGTTGATGTAGTTAATCAATTATATGTGAGTCCACCATATGTTATAAATGGTGTGATTAGTCACATAAGAAACAAAGTTAATGCTAATAAGTTAATAAACCCATAATTGAAACCAATTTAATGCTATTAATTGAAAAAAACATTTAGGCACATTCAAACGAAAACATCACAACATTGGAATATAAAAGTTTGAGGAGAAGTTATTTATTTATTTCATTAAATTTGTTAACTATTGCAAGAAGGGAAAATATTAGAAAATGAATTGTCAAGTAACTCAATAAGAAGAAAATGAACATTTTAAACTATTTAATTTATACTTTTTTTTGTCAACGACACATTAATTAATATATAATAAAAAAAGACAAAATTAACTTTTCATGTATTAAAAATTTGTAGGCTATATAACCAGTTTAAGTCAAATTTCTTGAACATTTTAAACTATTTAATTTACACTTTCTATAACCATTTTCCAATTATAATTAAAATAGACCAAATTAACTTTCATGTATTGAAATTTTGTAGGCTATATAAACAGTTTAAGTCAAATTTCTTGAAATATTTTGTTAAACTATCTAATTTACACTTTATATAAAATTTTAAAATTATATTTAAAAAAAAAATCACTATTGATGACAAAAAAAAAAAAATCACTATTGCAAGAAGGGAAAATATTTAAAAATGAATTGTCAAGTAACTCAATAAGAAGAAACTGAACATTTTAAACTATTTAATTTATACTTTTTTTTTGTCAACCACACATTAATTAATAAAATAAAATAAAAAAAAACCAAATTAACTTTCATGTATTAAAAATTTGTAGGCTATATAAACAGTTTAAGTCAAATTTCTTGAACATTTTTACCTATTTAATTTACACTTTCTATAACCATTTTCCAATTATAATTAAAACAGACCAAATTAACTTTCATGTATTAAAAATTTGTAGGCTATATAAACAGTTTAAGTCAAATTTCTTGAAATATTTTGTTAAACTATCTAATTTACACTTTATATAAAATTTTTAAAATTATATTTAAAAATAAAATCAAAATAAATGTTCAGCAATTCAAAATTAATAATTATTAGTATGGGGGTTACAACTTTAAAAATAAAATCAAAATAAATGTTCAAAACTCAAAATTAATAATTATTAGTAGGGAGACTCACAAAAATGCCCCTTTTTCAATATCCCTTTTCAAAAATGCCCGCTTTGGCTGTCCATTTTAAAAATACCCATTTTTATGTACAAAATGACTAAATTACCCTTCTTTTAATAAAAGATATCACAAATATATAAGGAAATATAACAAAATTAGGTCCACAAAATACAAAATATTTTTTGGCGGGAAAAGTGATCCCGCAATTTTTCCCGCCAAAACACTTGTAAAAACTTGTAAAACCTTTAAAATACCTTGTAAAATTTTTCCGTAAAATTTTTTCCCGCCAAAAAAACTTTTTGCGGGAAAAGTGATTCCGCAATTTTTTTGGCGTTAAATTTTTGGCGGGAAAAATTTACAAGGTATTTTAAAGGTTTTTTACAGGGTATTTATAAGGTTTTACAATGTATTTTAAAAGGTTTTACAACGTATTTATAAGGTATTTATAAGATATTATAAGATTTTACAAGCTATTTTATAAGGTTTTACAAGTTATAAGGTTTTACAAGTTTTTTATAAGGTTTTACAAGTTATAAAACCTTATAAGTACCTTGTAAAACCTTTTAAAATACATTGTAAAACCTTACAAAACACTTGTAAAAACTCTGTAAAACCTTTAAAATACCTTGTAAATTTTTCCCGCCAAAAAAATTGCGGAATCACTTTTCCCGAAAAAAAAAAATTTTGGCGGGAAAATTGCGGGATCACGTTTACCGCCAAAAATTTGCGGGATCACTTTTCCCGCCAAAAAATATTTTGTATTTTGTGGACCTAATTTTGTTTCAAATAAAGGTAAAATGGTCATTAAAAATTAAAAGAGGGCAAACTTAAAAACGGACTCTCAAAAGGGGTATTTTTGAAAAGGGGTATCTCAAAAGGGGCATTTTTAACAATTTCTCTATAAGAAATTCATTTACTATAAATTATTATAAGAAATTCATTTTCCACAATATTGGTGTCAAATAAGATTATTGGTTTTATTGTTGTAAATTAATATGAATAAATAAACACTTTGATAATAATTAAGATTAGAAATAAATATTGGTGTCTTATATGAATTTTATTCTCTACATTATATTGGTATTAAAAAGTATGGTGGAAAAGAATCAAAACTTAAAATATTTAAACGTAAAGTAATGGAGAGATATTTATTGATTTAAATAAAGAGAAATTAGTTATGGTATATTAATGTGGATAATTAAGAGACGAAAAATATGACATATGTCAAGCATTTGAAGTGCCAAATGTAAAAAAATTAGACCAAGTTTAGAGGAAACTTTGTCATATTATATATGATTTATTCGACCAGCCACTATGGCATTGTTATCGATTTGAGTGTCAATAACCTTTCTGAAACATTATACTAGGGTCACTGAGATAAATTGGTCTCTTCTCTACTTTTATTATTTCATATACAAATTTGTATGTACCAAGATCTTATCCACAAAATTTTGTTTATCCCAAAACTGTTATTATAATATTAAAGAGGTCAAAATGGTTTGAGCTTGTTTACAATATATTCAAGAGTTTTTGCTAAGTTTCTTACAACATTTTAAAATGCATGACAATGATTCTACTTAACTCATTTAAACAAATAACTTGGCGATACAAACAAAAATCATCAACTATCTAGCGTTGTGATTCATACCTTTCCAGAAAGATTGTTTTCTGGATTGAGGGGAAATGAACCAAGTAACTTTTTTAACAGTATTGATGCAGGTCGCCATGTAGTCTGTCTTTGCATGTGCCTACGAATGACTTGATTGCATAACCTATGCTGCGAAGTATATGGTGTATGCAATCAAATGAGTGTTCATCGAATCCTCGCGGAGCATGAATCAAAGGAATGAAATCTTGGAAACAATTGATTAAGACTCCAACAATGTGCCAACTCAGAAAGAGCTACCTTTAGCTTGTTTTTATCTTGCACATAAAAATGATTTTTCTGTATAACATCCTTGTAGTTTTCGAGAATCTGCATATAGTAGCAGATGAAATTTCAGGGGACATCACGCACGACTAATAGATATAGAAAGAAATACTACATGCAAAAAGTTGGAAATGTAACAGTCTCTGTCATTATCCAAGAAATCAAAGAGGACACCTTTTCAGCATCCAAGGAAAAGGTAGGCGGGTAGAACTCCACAACAAGGTGGAAAATTTGAAAGCCATCAAACGAACATCAATAGTTGAATGAGCCATAGCGCTAAATATATATGTATGGCATCAAAAGTGACATCATAGGGCCCTGGTTATCCTGATAGATTCACACATAGAAACGGCCGTTAGATATGACACTAAACTATAAAAGACATGATCATATCAATATAGTATGCATAACTAAGAGACTAGAAACCATAATAATTTCAAATTCACATCTCTTGCATCTCATAACACAAAAAACTAAGAGAAACCAATGGAAGCGGAACCAGTAAGAATAACGATGAAATAACAAGTGGAAAAAGATTTTAATCATACCTCTTTACAAGCAGTAAAGACCTCAGTATTAAATAGTTGATAAAAAGTATCTCTCACTAGCTTATCATCATGACTAATGCGTTCCTTGAGTTTCTGTATGATAGCATATTTATGTGACTGTAGCTCTGCTGGATGATTCTTGAAAAGGTCTTTGATACCATATAATGCATCTACACAGACAAAATCAAAAATTGATCCACATAGCAAGCATCATATTTTCCTCAACCAAAAAAAACATGAGCAAGAATAAAAAAAGAGTACCTTTGCGAACTTTGGCATTGTGATGTGAAGTTTGTGGCAGAAGCACCTTCAAGGTCAAGCCTTTTTTACTAGTAGATAAGCCACTCTTTTCAGCAGCCACACTTTGCTCAGTAAGTATAATTGCTGCAACATAAACAAAGTAATTTTCAACCATAAGCAGAGAGCTAATAAGGGAAGGGAACAAAAAAGTTTGAAGAGCAGGAGAAAGCAGATACCTTTGGATTTAATCTTAGTGTTAGTTGCATTCTTTGGTGGAGGTAATTTTCTTCCGAGCTTTCTCTTAATTTTATGCCAAAATAAAACAAAAATCATTAGAACAATTCATCAAACACTTGCAGAAGAAGATTCATGGAAACTCGAGACAATAATGTTATATATTCGTCACACCCGAAAAACTTTTCCTGTAAAGAGATTTGCAGATATGAATAATTGACAATCCTTCAACGAACTCAACAATGATTGGTGTTTTACTTACCCCTTCATCAGCATATAGAGAAGCGTGGATTCTGGTGGTTGCATCTTCTAGTATAGCTAGCAATTTGATATTTCTGTTGGAATCGGGAGTTTTCTGACATCTCGGGGATACACTTGTATGAACCGAACAACACATCTGAATTTAGCAGTCACCTGCATAAGCATCACTAAACATCAATTCAAGAAAGTTTTCATTACTCTTGTTCTACAACTTATGATAAATCCAAGCTTTTTGGATACATTACATTGTGATAGGTCAGGATGTCCATCAGAGAAACAAATGGAGCGTCCTCATGGGCGACCCCTAAAAAGGATTAAACCATTAGTATATATATTATCAAAAAAAATTGTCACGCTATGTCAAATTTCCACAATTCTTAGCTAGCAGCTGGTTATAACCTGTGATTCCTGAATGTGAACGTGCAATTGGGTTCCATCTCGATGAAAACTTCTCCCCACACATTCTGAAATCGTATGAAAATGTGTGTTTAAGCTGAAGAACAAACGGATGAAGCATAACAATCAACTAAGGAATCAAAATTTGTGTAAACTAAGGAATCAAAATTTATGCAAACATTTCTCCGCGTCGGCTGGTACCTTACCTAGTTTGAGGATATACAAACAAATATGCGAATAATATCTCCAATTATGATCTAAAGCTTTGAAAAAGTCTGCAAGTAAAAACAAAACATAAATTGTTTGAGATTTTTGACCAAAAAAAATAAATTGTTTGAGATTATGTATACAAAGAGAATATTTTGTTAACAGCCGTAACTCTCAAACCCTATTTCTTGCCTCCTGCAAGTATTCTCGATATATGTAATCCACGGCTGAAGGCTTGGTTGAATAGCAACCGAGTCTGAAACTCCGAGACCGATGGGAACCATGAACAGACAATTAAAGGAAAGAAGATGACAAGTCCCATCAGGCAATCATAAAACCTCGCAAACATCTTGACCAACTCCCACAAGCCTAAGGCTTTCATCAATGGTCTCCCCACTTGCGAAATCTGGAGCAGTGCCCATCCTGTTGGCAGAAAGACCAACGGCAAAACAATAATATCTGATAATGCAAGATTGCAAAACTGACCCAGCAACACTACCATCGCCACCATTAGTACGAAGATAGTCATCTTTGTAAGCCTGTACATAAGCTGGAAATCCGCCCCGTATCTCTCTCTCCCCGCTGATAACAATTGTAATATGAACACAAACGCCAATATCATGAACCAGGACAGTCCATACACCAACTTCTCTCCCAGTCCGCTCGCCTTACTTATCTCCAATTTATGTATGATAAAGAACTGAAAGATGAAGTAGCGGAAGGAAAGAACGATCTCAAAGAACTTTCCCAAAAAAGCAGAGTGATGAAGATGCTGTTGCTCTTCTTCCCACCACGTTTCCCACTTTCTGTCTGCAGCTCTGTTACTAATCCATGTAAACCAATCATTCCAGTCATCAAGTGTTTTCTGCCACTCGAATCCCGAGGGATTGAAAATGAAGGGAGCAAAGAGCCATGATATAACAAGGAACCAAATTGATCCCGTCAGAAATGTATACGCTACAGAATTGCTTCCTTTCCCATACAGCCAGTAACATATGAGAAGAACCACTATCTCCATTGCTTTCACAAAATGGCTTCTCGAATACGTTCTGTAATTCTCTGCAAACGTTGCGTGCTTCACCACAAACCCACGCCCTGTTGCTCTGTACTTTGCTCCCCCATGGAGTAAAGTTCGCCCATAGTGATGAACCTTTGTTCCAAGTGAGAAGGTGAAAAATACAGATGCTAATTGAATCTGCATAATGATGAACTCGCACAGCGCCGTTCTGAATCCTCTCTCTAAGCCAGTCTCCACCAGTATTGGTACTGCCAGCAGCAGACCGAGTTGCACTACAGATTGTGATGCCATCACTGCCATGAGCGAACTATTTAGTTCACACATTGTTAAGATGTATTTCAAATAATCTTGAGGCAACTTCTCCAATATTTCCCTCAATGTTGCCTTGTCACAACTAAATATAACTGCTTCTTCCATTCCACTCCATAACAAATAGAGCTTGCTATATAGGAATGCATAAACTGTGAGGACAATAATCTGCAATACAGAGAATAACTCAGTTATGTTAAGAAATTTATTAGTCTATGGTAAACTCAGTTTGACATTAGAAGTTCAGAAGTTACCATCGAGTTGATGTAGAAGCCTATGGTTGTGATGTAGCAAGACATCATGCGGAAGAAATCAAAGCTATGCCCAAGTCTGTAGAGATCCCTACTCAATGTTTGCTCCCCGCTACCACAAGCAACTTTGGCTTCAAAGAGGGATATCTGGTTCAAACCAACATCTCTTCCCTTCCCTACTTGGATGTACTCATGGTGAGTGATATTACCACGCCTCAGAGTTGAATTGAAACCTAAAGTTACATAAAATGAAGTAAGATGACTATGATAACATATAATTATATAGTAAGGTCCAGAATCCAACCACCAAAGATATCCTCGCTAAGATTTATGCCGCATGATGCTTTGCTGATGCCACCCCGGGTGATGTGGAAGATTTTATCAAAGACATCAGGGTGACCATAGTGAAACCTGACCCTGAAAAAAAAAATCCATGGTATTGAGAGCTAAAGCTTCATGTTTTTTATTAAACTATTATCTGTAGAAGAACTAAAGAATGAAAACATACTTTAAAGGAGAAGCGAAGACTCGCTGACCAATGGTCACGAAGCTTGTTTCTTGATTCGACATAAACCAGCCTAGCGAAGAAACACTGCAAGCACCATGCCAAACACATAAATATTAGCTAGCAAAAAGAATGAACTTCTATACTCATAAAAAACATAATAGTTCCCAAATACCTTCCAGTAAAAATATGTTCTCTCAAACCAAGAATAGTTGGTGCACGTACTCCATGGTCTTCATTGAACTCTTGGAGCAAATTTCTAATCTTAAATGCTTCTTCCAAGTAATGGTCCTATTAATTAGATACTATGGTAAGTAACATTCTTCTAACAAGGAATAATGCACTTTGGGGGAAATTATGTACCTGGTTCATGTCAATAGCCTGGAGAGTTTCTCCTCGTGTAAAAATAAGAGCATGATTCTGATTTTCGGGTTTTCCTTCTCCTATTTTTGCTGGACCCGGCAATCTTATCCGATATATTTCCTTTGAAAAGTAACAGATACAAAGTTCAAAATCCGGGGGTTTCGAACAGGAAATAGTTTTTAGCTAATCTGTTACGATTTCAAAGAGTAATAAGTATATATACTTGTTCTGTATTCCCAACAGCTTTGATAAGCACCGAGTAGAATAGTTTTCCTCCTTCTCGTTCTTTAATATCATCAATGTATGCTACACGGAGAGAGGGATTGCTGCAGCATTGGATATGAAAAAATGAGCCTCACCAGGGAATCTCAACCCCAATCTATTCAGCAGCAAGGATGGAGAAGGGACTTACTCAATCATTAGGTCATGGATGTCGTCCGCTTCCTTGTCTCCATTTCGCTTCTGATTTCCGTAATTTTGACAAGTAACGACGTAAGTAAATTTTCTGTCTACTACTTCCTCTAACAGACTTTTCATGTCCTCTGAAATGGCTGTGATCCCTGCTTCTATTTCTGTAAACACAAGAGATAAGTACTTAAAACATTTAACGACATTGCTTCAGTATCATGCTTGGAGAATGCAAGAATAACATAAGTCAGTTGCCAACAGTTGCACGGTTCACGTGTAACTGATTTTAGTTCCACACAGTTCAAAAGCAATCACCCCTCACCTGTTTCAGTAGCCATGTCTAAAAAAGCCTGAAGCTTGAGTGCCCGCCTGTAGTACATCATTCCTCTAACTGCAGGATACAAAAGCTGTAAGAAACAAAAATACATTTGTGAAATATAAGTAGGCGTAGATGGTATAAATTACCTGTTCTAAACAAAGTCTGTCCCCTCAAAGAAACCCAATGGCGAAGCTGCAATATATGTTTTGCACTACTCTTCAAAACAGCTTTTTCGTCTTTACAACTAAGCCGCTCCAAGAAGTTGGTCCACTCATCTGAAGAGGTGGGGAATATGATCAATTACCGAAAGCATTGAGAAGTAACTAAATCCATTAACAAGAGCTCATGCATAAGACATACCTGGGAAGTTCTTCTGCAAATAGTATAAAACCGATATACCATCTTCATTCTCCTTTTCCAGGTCGTTTTGAGAGTAGACGGTCTCCTCACTATAGTACGGAGTTAGGACGCTTTAAATTCAAAAAAAAATTGTAAGGTTACTGATGAGTAAGAGTTCCTCTCTGCAGCAGAAACTCATAATAGTTCCATAGTATCAACTACATGAATTTTTAAACTGTACATAAATCTAATAGGCGAGTATAGATAGCACATGGTATCATCTGAGAAGCATAGTTTATGTTAAGAGATGATGGTGATTAACAGAGCACAGACCTGAAGGAGAACATATTTCTGACACAAGGAGCTCTAGGCATATCCATAAACAGTGAATTTGTGAAGAAAGCAATCCTTCTTCGCGCTTCAAGGTTTCTCGGAACATCCATTGCAGATTCTTTTACCGTCAAAAGTAAATGAAGCCGATTTATCTACAACAACAAATTAAATCTTAATGTTGAAAATGGTCTTCAGAAAGCAGAGTATCCCTTAAAATTAGCCTTATTTCATGTTTTTGAGGTAATACCTGTTCTTCCCATTGAGGTGTTTTCTGTGGAGGAAAATTGATAGAACTATCAGCAGCCAAAGGTTGCCTACGTGTTTTTTCCTCTTCACTGGAAAAAGTGCCACCCATGTTTATTCTTGATTTTGTGGAAACTACATATAAGCACATAGACACTAACACACTTTCTAGTTCTCTAACTATAAATATAGTCCACTAACCTGTTTTCCTGCATCATATCTCGAGTCACTATATTCAACAGATCTTGCAACAACCGCACCACTGGAGTTTCTTCGTCTAGGCACGCACCTTTCTGCAGCATCATGAGTTATACATAATTGTTTAGTTTCTCAGATAACATTATCACTTCCATCAGAACTTAAATCTTTAGTTTGTTGAAGTTTCCACCTCAGTACACTAATTAGTAATGAAATGGCATTTTCCCTAACTAATTAAGCAAGCGCTGAAAAGGGGTTCACAACCGAAAGTCACAGCCAAGTTGGCTTAGAATTATAAAAAGACCTAGATTTGGGCTTGCACCGTCTCTGGCATAGAAAGTATCCACTACCATGAACAATCTTAAATCAAATCACAGATAACACAAGGATGTGTAACTTACCAAGATTTCGACAAGCTCCACAAATTTACCGCAAAGGGCAGGTAAATGAGCTATTACTTTATGACCCCTTAATATATTGATATTGTTATCCACATTTTTGATGATGTTAGCAACAGTCCTGCGGTATAATATATATTCTTAGCAATCTTGAAATGAATTTTGAAACTTAAAGAAGGACTGAAGTTCCAGGTTGGAGCACAGATATATGCCAAAGTCTCAGGAGGAGAGAAATGGTTTTACGCTACGTCAGCAAATAAAGTTCAGCCATGGATTTATGATCATAACTAATTTGTACCCTTTAGACTTTTATTTTCCATAGTCAAGAGGTACCTTCTATTCTCCCCTGTTAATAACGTCTTTAAGACGTGTTTGAAAGATTGGTAGCATTCAACGACAGCACATCTCATGTAGTCGTCTGTGCATATGCGGTTCCAGAGGTCAGAATCTCCCTCTTGAAATTGAGCTGCCATATCCAATGCTATTGGTATCTGTAACAAGAAGAGAACTTTAGCAATAATAATAGGAAAAAAGTAGTTGTGATGGGAACAGAAGACCACAAACCTTTCTTGCAAGCAAAAATAGTGGCCACTGAATTTCTAGTTTCAATTTAGGATCTGGTTTACAAGGAACAAGCAATAGATCCTTCTCCCTGAACAAAAAGTTGTTTTTTCAGACACGGGAAATAATGGGAGGGATTCATAAATAAGGTGGCGAAGTGTTGTTACCAGTCACTGATGAGATCTTCCTCGCGGAAGCTGGAAATTATTTCATTCCAGAGTAGGTAAAACTTTGCCACTACAGTTCTAGTTGGTGCTGTGACCTGCATACTGATATAGCTTAGTCGATGTATTACAACAATCCTCTAAATGCCACTTTGTCGGATTACAAATGAGCATTAATCTTGTTTAACCTCCTCAGATCTTTTTGACAAGGAAAACCCTCTTTTCCTTGTTTTATCAGAATGAACCAGGTACGTGTTAAATGCACCAGGTAATGATCGGAACCTTGAGCTGAGCATTTCAAGCGTCCGTATCTGGAAGAAGAATTGAAATGAGCTGGCGTTAGAATGTTTCATGCAGGATGAGAGATGAGCCGTTTATAAGAGGCTTTTCAAACGCTTTTTGATATCTTTAGAAAATGTGGAAACCTTAATTTCGTTGCTGTAACACAACAAGGGTAAAAGGAAGGAGTAGAATGGATTTAGAAAAACAATACCTCTCCTAAACGACCAAAGGCTCCAATGAACCCACCACAGATCGAGGAGAAAAGAGCATACCAGATTTGGGTGTCAAAAAAATAAACCTGAAGCAAAATCAATCAACTAACATGAGACATTAGCAGACTTGCTATATTGTTTTGTTCATCTAAATGCGTAGTTAAGAAAACTGTACCATTATCACTGGTAACCAGAGCGACACCACTGCTCCATAGTTGTGCGTACCTGCATGGAGAGTCGAAATTTAGCTTACCGAAAATACTAGAAGCAAATATGAAAAGCAGAGTTCCAAGCGAAGAGCATAAGTAGCAAGACTACCATCCTGATAAAATCCAGGGCCTATAATTGTGTGTGTTGCCTTCACCAAAGGTTTCATCTGCAAGAGGATATAAGAGAAAGGTATTGAAGATGAGTACTGTTTATTGTAGTTGAAATATCAGGTCAGAGAACTTTTATATAGTGTCAAACCTGTACAAAGTAATTGAACGAAAATTTGAAACAGAAAAGGATCAGCCAAAACAGCGTATACCTAGAAATTCCAAGAAACATATTAGCACGACAACAATGTTTTCCGAATTATTGATATAAATTTCATTATGTGCGATCAATGCTACAGTAGATCGTTTTTGGCTCTTTAAACTTACTTTATACGTGTAATTAGACTTTCATGCATCCCTCTTCCAACATAAATTCTTGGCTGAAAAGGAAAAAAATGGTCCTGAGTTGCAGATAATCTTAACCATTGATTGTGTAGAATATATATAGCAGAGCCTTCGTACCTGTGACCACCACAAAAGCAATCTATATATGCGCCTGTCTGAAATCTCAATCCGGCTTTGAATCATTGGAAAACTAAACATGATTGCTTCCAGCATATTTGGTATCAGGTAGATTACTATCATGGAAGATAGTGAGGGAATCCATTTAACTTGTGGAAGAAATGATAGGCATTGCTGCAGCTTCCCAGGATGGTTAGAGGCAGACTGGGCATAGCAAATTGTTAATAGAAGACACCATAGTGTTGAGAAAATGATCTTGAGAATATTTCTCAAGAGATCAGGAAATTTCCATCTGTGGAAGCCTGGGAAGTTTAGGGTTAAGTCCAAGAGACCTATCATATATACCAGCAAGAAACAAAGTAACCTTTAGGAAAAGTAACCAAATGGTGAATACATAAAACTTTGACACAGCGTAGAGGTGACATACTTTGAAGGACAAGTAGAAATGATGCTGTAATGAAGATACTGGAGAGAGAAGATAAAACATCTCCGCGTAAGATTTCCCTCAGCTCTACTTGTTTAAATGCAAGAATGATTATTGCCTGTATCAAAAAGTCAAAGTCAGAGATGTCATTTTGACTTATTAGGAATCATGTGTATATACTGTTCACCCGATTGCTCACCTGGAGTGCTAAGATATAGAACGTCCAAAACCTGTCAAAACTGTGATATATGTGCCAAAATGACCGAGTTTCTATGAAATTTTTTTTCCTGAATGATCTTTTTTCACCCTGTTAATTAATTTAAAATTGAAAAAATTAGTGTTTACTCAATGGAGACAGAGAAACCGCTAGAGGAACTACCTGTGGCGTTGATTTGAAGAAATCTCCATCATTACGCATTGGCCATTCAAGAGATAAGCAATCTGGAGACCTATATAACACTATTGCGTAAACTTTGTGGCAACCAAGTAAACGTTCAATGTACACACTTATTTCGTAAATACCAGAAATACTCGTTCAGATCATCATAGTTGGACCAATCTGAGTGAGAAGCCTTGCCATTTGCATTCCTATGTGCTTCCTAATTCATAGAAGTGAGGTATTGAATATACAAGGTCAAGCTTCTATAATATTCCATGGACCCATCAGTCAGATACATACCTCTCTAACCACATTGTAGATTGGTTCAATGATCGTCCGGAGAAAGTGATCATCATCTTTTATTCCGGTTACGGAGTCTTTTCTAGCCAAGGTATCATTTAACTCAAACGCCATCTAAGAGCAATTATGATCGAACTATCAAAACCAAAACAATTTAACATAAAAGGAAAGGTAAGGAAAATTTTACATACATTGTGGAATATGTAATTCAAGCATTCCGGCATAAAGCGAATATTTGCAGCTTCACCCCATATGAGAAGATACAAGCCAATATAGAGTATCTTACGACCAGTAAACCTTTGCATAAAATGTAATTATGCTGAGTATATATGAACGTCAATAAGACAAAATTTTCTATCCAAGCGACTAGCTATGAAAGAAAAACTGCATGCTACCTTAGATTGTGATCAATTCCTAAAAATTTGCACCAGTCCTTGTAGTTCTTGAATAGCTTTTTCATGACGGCATCAACGGCTCTTTCATTGAGCTGCAGCTGTAGCTTAAAATTATAGAGGATTAAGAAACAAATTAAAGGCTGAAAAATAAACGAAAACAATAGATGTGTTTATTGTTTAATGAGATATAGCTTTTGCGTATTAACCTTATCTAGAGGTTTTGAAGCTGTCAACCTCGTGTGATAATCAGCTAACAACATCACCAAATTCTCCCTTTGATTCCTAACGTTGTCTCCCTGTATGTGAAAAGCATAAATTATATATATATATATATATATATATATATATATATATATATATTATCACGTTCATCATAAAAACATAGAAAACCAATTCACTTTCCTGAAATCCAAAAAGGATTTTCAAATACTCGAGAATATCCGGTTTATTTGATTGCGGTGTTCTTGCCATTGGCCACTTCACATCAGTTAATTCTATCAGTGAGATAGCTACTTTAATTTCTACAGATTTCCCAACATAATCAACTGGAATTATGTTGTAAACTTTCTCCTGCTCCGCTCTAGTTTCCATCTGAAAACGCACAAATGGATGAGAAAAAAAATCGATTTAGCAATAATCCAAATCTGCAGATGAAATTGAACATCTGAAAACGCAAAAATTGATTCAGCAATAAAATAAAACATCAGAGATCATCTATATCTGCAGTAGAAGAAGATTAACTATCTGAAAATGCATAAATCTCCATAAGTATTGATGAGAAACATGTCGATTCAGTAATCATCCAAATCTCCATAAGAATTGAACATCTAAAAACGCAAAAATTGATTCAGCAATAAAATAAAACATCAGAGATCATCTATATCTGCAGTAGAAGAAGATTAACTATCTGAAAACGCACAAATCTCCATAAGAATTGATGAGAAACATATCGATTCACTAATCATCCAAATCTCCATAAGAATTGAACATCTAAAAACGCACAAATCGATTCAGCAATAGAAAAAAAAAACCTAGACGATCATTTCCGCCTGATGATTGAAGAGATTTGGATTCCTGCAACGTACAGAAAAACAAAAGTAAGCGTTCTAAGTATCGTTTGATTGATTCCGCTTCATGATCTCCTAGCTAAATCGAGAAGAAGTTTGAACATGCGCAGAGACGATCGTAAGTAGAAAACAAAACTGGAATTCAAATCATCCGCCGGGAAAAAACAGGGTGAGAATGTGAGAGCATAATGCGTTCGAAAAAACAAAGAAGACGAAGAAGATTCAATACCTGATGAAGCTAACCTAGATAGTATCGTTTCTTCTGGAGAAGAAGAGGAAGAAGAAGAAGAAGAAGAAGTAGCAGAGAGTGAGATCTCAGGACGTTTGTTATTTGGTTTTAAGAGAGGGAGGGAAACGAGAGTCTATTTTCTGTGTACACGTGGCGGTAGAGGAGAGGGTGATAAAACTGGTAGTAGTGAGAACGCACACTTTTTCTCTCTCTTAATATCGCTCACGCGCGAAGAATCTAATGAGTCTAGCGACGCGCCCCTAAACTTCTTATTTTTCTTTTCCATTTTTTTTGTTTTTTATTTTTCTTCGCTAATCAACAAAACTTGACCAATCTGCTCTTGTTTCGACATCCAAATAGCCCTGTAAATCATCAAAACATATATATCAACTCAAAAGTACACATATAGGCTAGATGAATAAAAATAGAAAGTGATGTGTTTTTCCCAGTGAAGCATTTCGTCGAACACCTTGTAAGCGTTAACTTCACAATGGGGATGTCCAAGTGAATTGGGGATTATAAATATAACACGAAAGGGAATTATAAATATACATAGAAAAGTATATTAAAGACCAAAAAATCACGACCTTTGAATTCTCTTGGCACTCTTGACTGCAACACGAGACTCCACGATCTTCAAATTTAGCCGAACCCATGAGTTTCTTGAGGCAAAGATAGCAAACGGAGTCGAGCTTCAAAAGAGAAGGGCAAGCTACGACGGATTTGGCTGTGTGTATGAGATCTCCGGCACCAATTCTACGCGTTGCAAAAACAGCCCGACCCGCCGACTCAGCACCGACTCGGATCGGTGGCGGTCCGGTCTGATTGTCTCCATCTCGATTCGACGCAGCAGAGGAAGAGAAAAATGGAGGCTTCGTCAATGGCTTAAGGCGCGAGAGACAACGGCTATAACGATTTTTTTTTTTCCCGCCAGACAACGGCTACAACGATTTAAAGCCACTCGCGACATTTGGTTGTTGCTCAGTTTTTGCTTTCACAACGAAGAAGGAAATAAAGTAGTAGTACTGTAGTAGTAGAAATATATATTATTTGAAAATAGCCCCACAACTTTTAAATTGAGTCAAAAACTACCTTTTACAGTTTTTTAATTTTGCAGTTTTGCCTCATCATTTATTGTAGTTTGGCGAAAGTTTTTGAGCGTCATGGTGGTGAAAATTGGGAAAACGGCCTATTCCTCCCCAAACTAAGTTGTTTTGGCTAATTCATCCCTGAAATGACTAGACCCTCTTGGCGCTCTCTACATGGGGCGTTGTTCAGGTTTGACTAGACCCTCTTAGTGATGAACAGAGTCTGTAGAAGTTCTTGTGAAATGAGACTATGAGAGTATTCGATTTCTTATTGATGCAGGTCATGAATCATGGGATTACAAAAGCGTTTCTTGACAAGATTTACAAGCTAACCAAGGAGTTCTGTGCACTTCCGTCCGAAGAGAAACAGAAGTACGCGAGAGATATTGGTAGTATCCAAGGACAGGGCCGGCCCAAGGCTAAAGCCCGTAAAGCATGGGCTTTAGGCAGCAAATGTCTATAAAAGAATTTTGGGGCATTATTTTACAGAAATTTATTGTGGTAGAGTGGTTAACACCTCCCTTCTCTCAACATAGTTGCTGAGTTCGAACCTCCCTAGTGTAATTCGTTTATAAATTTTTTTTAACTATGTTTAATGATGGACAAAAATTTTTTTTTTGCTTTAGGCAGCAATTTACCTTGGGCCGGGCCTGTCCAAGGATATGGTAACGACATGATTCTTTGGGATGATCAAGTTCTTGACTGGATCGACCGTTTGTATATTACTACTTACCCTGAAGATCAGAGACAACTAAAGTTCTGGCCTCAAGTCCCAACCGAATTCAGGTAAACTTTAATATACCTTTGTTCATTTACTTTGATGATTTTGACAAATCGTTTGTTCAGGGAAACTTTACATGAGTACACAATGAAGCAACATCTAGTGATTAAGCAAGTCTTTAAAGCCATGGCTAGATCTTTGGAATTGGAAGAGAATTGCTTTCTAGACATGTGTGGAGAAAATGCTACGATGGATACAAGATTCAACATGTATCCTCCATGTCCGAGGCCGGACAAGGTTATCGGTGTTAAACCGCATGCTGATAAGTCGGCTTTCACTCTTCTCTTTCCCGACAAAAATGTCGAAGGGCTTCAGTTTCTCAAAGATGGGAAGTGGTATAAAGCTCCAATTGTCTCTGCAGATACAATTCTGATCAATGTTGGAGATCAGATGGAGGTAATCATTACGCTTATGATTTTGAAAAATTTGATATGTGTAGATTTGACATAAATAATCTCTATTTCTCGTGTGTTTTAAGATAATGAGCAATGGGATATACAAGAGCCCGGTTCATAGAGTGGTGACTAACAGAGAAAAAGAAAGGATATCTGTTGCAACTTTTTTCATTCCAGGTGCAGACAAAGAGATTCAGCCTGTGAATGGGCTTGTGTCCGAGGCAAGACCAAGATTGTATAAGCCTGTTAAGAACTATGTGAAGCTCTTAAACAATTACTATCTACAGGGTTTAAGACCAATCGCAGCTTCGTTGATCTGATCACACTTTTCAAGTCTCCAATCTGCTTACACAAATGAATCTGTTTCTTTCATGACTTGATCCTTTATAAGAATAAAACTGTTCCTTTGTTTGTTGGAATGTGAGACTGCATTGTGTTATTTGTGTTACAATCCTGACACAAGAAAGAGGGTCTAAAATATATGTTCCCACTTATCAGTTACTGTTGAAACACATTAAGCCAAAACATAAGAAGTTATTTAACTTCCAAATCCAGCTCTAACCACTAAAACAGACAGAGTTTAACACTAAAACTTTCAAGTTCTTTAAATCAATGAATAAAAAAAAATCATATTTCGTTATTGACTTCTATAAAAGAGAAGAGATAAATCTTTCTCTCTTACTCTGTTTCTTCATTCTCACAATATTTCAACAATGACTTCGTTACCAACGATAATGGACATGATGTTGACGTCGGCTAAGTAAGGCTCAATATTGGTCGCTACCCAGTTCTTAGCAGCATCATAGCTGGCCAGAGCAGCCAAATCTTGTTTCTTGACGCCGACGGTGACACTAATATTAGGGATGCCGCGTAAGGCGTTAAGAACCTCTGTGTTCGGGTCGAAGATTCGGATTTTTGTAACACCTATGGACTTGTAAAAGCTGATATCATTGGACGGAGATGGGAGGTTGTTTCCGAGGATGCCATAGTTTAAGACGACGTTTTTTTCTACCACGATTATGGAACCGTCTTTCTTGTAGTAGTTGTTGAGCAGAATTGCCGAACACGTGAGCAGAAAGAACACAAGTATTTGAGGACAGTCCATGATGCAACTCGAGTTCTACAAAATCAGTAGAGTCAGAGATAATGTTAGATTCTTTTATTTCGAACACATACAATTTTCATCGGTGTTAAACCGCATGCTGATAAGTCGGCTTTCACTCTTCTCTAGCCCGGCAAAAATGTCCAAGGGTTTCAGTTCCTCAAAGATGGGAAGTGGTATAAAGCTCAATTGTCTCTGCAGATACAACTCTGATCAATGTTGGAGATCAGATGGAGGTAATCAATATACATATGATTTTGAAAAAATTGATTGGTGTAGATTTGACATAAGTAGTCACTCTTCTCGTGTGTTTTAAGATAATGAAGCCAAAACACTAAAACAGAGTTTAGCACTGAAACAGAGTTTAACACTAACACTAAAACAGAGTTTAACACTAAAACTTTTCAAGTTTCCTCTTTGGTTTCACAGAATAGTACTTGAAGATGTTTGTTGGAATGTTGCAACTATTGAGAATATCACAAGGGTCCGAAGTTCATCTTCCTAAAACACATTAAGGTCTAAGTGTGATTGTGATTTGAAACCAACTACAAATCCAGCTGAGTTCTGATTCAAGATCTCATTATCAAAAGGAAAAGGAAATCTTATAAAATGGATGTTATAGTTAACCAAAACCAAAACAAAGCCCACTCTATTACAACTCTTAGAGAGTTTAAAACAAAATCAAACAAACCATTAAAGCGTTATAACTAATGAGTTGGGGATATTCTAAGAATCAAGAATCGAAAAATCAAAACAACTTGTAGATGGGCTTCATATTAGTAGGATTGTACAACCCAAAATTCTGTTCAGTACCAGCTGGTTTCTGATTCTCGTTAAAAGTTGCGAATAAATACCCGTCAATGCTACTGTTTGGCCTCTTCGGTGTCCCTTTACCGCTTTCAACATGCTTGACAAAATTTCTGTTGTATGTACCCGCCAAATGCGGATTTGTAAACTTCACCTTGCCCCCCGCGGAAGGCCATCCGGTCTCTGCCACCACCATTGGTAAATCCATCACGCCCTCTTTCTCCATTGCCCACACGAAAGCGTCGAAACTCGCATCAAATATGTGTGTATACTTCATTAGTCCATCCTCGAAAACGGGATATTTGTTTTCGAAGATGGCATAATCGAGACTGACGTGGTCGGGATTGGACACCAAAGCGAAGTAAGGGTAGATGGTGACGAAGATAGGCGTGTTCATTTGAGACAAGAATTTCAGCACAGGAACGAGTTGTTCACGCGCTTGAGGCGTGAACATTCCCGCGGAAGGTGGATAGGATTGTTGTAGGTTCGACATATCCACTACGGTGCTGATCAAGATCGGTAGATTCCTCGACTTGACAAGGTTGGTGAGAGACTGCACGACGGGAAGCACGTGAGGACCGATTGGTCCGGGGATGACTTCGTTACCAACGGTAATGGTCGTGATGTTGACGTCGGCTAAGTAAGGCTCGATGTTGATCGCGAACCATTTCTTAACAGCTTCTTCTCTGGCCGCAAGAGCAGCCAAGTCTTGGTCTTGACGCCTACGATGACACTAATATTGGTGTTGCCACGTAAGGCGTTAAGAACCTCTGTGTTCGGGTCGAAGATTCGGATTTTGGTAATCCCGATGGACTTGTAAAAGCTGATAACCTTGGATGGAGATGGGAGGTTGTCTCCGAGGAGGCCATAGTTTAAGCCGACGTTTTTTTCGACCACGATTATGGAACCATCTTGTTCTTGTGGGTAGTATAATTTGAACAGAATTGCCGAACACGTGAACAGGAAGAAGACAAGTATTTGGGGACAGTTCATGATGAAACTCGAGTTCTGCAAAATCAGTAGAGTTAGAGATAATAATTGGATTATTGTATGTCGAAAAGATACAATTTTCGTATGTGAGACATCACAGGGTCTTACTTGTGTGTGAAGGAGACGAAGGATCTTGTTGAAATAATAATAGACTCTAATTGGATAATTAAGAGGGGGTGAATGAAAGTGGGGTGAACCCAAGAATTGTTCGTTCATTAGGGCCAAAAGTTGAATTTATAATTAAGACCAAAGTTTGAAGTCTCAGCTGATGAGTTTATTAACGTTGTAAACATCAGATAACTATAATGACATCAAGTTCTATACTTAGTATCGGTGTGCATATCTTGAAGAAATATAGAAGTCGAATTCTTCTACGAGACTACGACACATAGGAACGTTGATTGGTACTAAAAAAATTGAAGAACAGACAAATTTTAAAAGAACCAAGGATACACATATGGAGCAAAGAAGACAACATTATATCTTTTCCAAGCTTTTGCAATCTTTTTTAAGGAAGAGCATAAGAAACCTCCTTAAAAAATATTCCACAATTGATATTTTGAGATTTTTGGGAGGCACAATGAGTACCTGTGGAAGAAATTTACTTGAGCTGGAAAAAAAAAACTGTATACCGAGAGAATGAGGAAAGAAACAAAACCCTTAGATGCATCGGACCAGATTTAGGATGATGATCACAATTCACAAGTATTGTTCATGTATCCTTGCTCTGTTCTCTTCCCACCATAATCTCGCGTGCATCTCCCCGAATCTCTCTCGGCTGTGCAATGCAAAAGAAAACACAGTTTGAGTGATATACATTTCAGAACCAATGGATAAACCCTAGTCTTGAAACAATGTAAGGAAGTTTAAGGGTACCTGAATCTGACTCTTCTAAGCTCTCTTTTCCCACCTGGTAAAACTTTAATGGTGATATAAACGCCAGGCTCATCTTGCTCCACCCATTCGTTGTCAACATCACTCGCATTGCTCACCGACATTTCCTCTGACCTGTCTGCATCTCTTGACGAGCTGCTTCTTATGGAAGCATCTATGGAAGAAGTTTCTGTCTTGGCTACACTGATGCTTGAAACTTTAGGAGTTGAGTTGAGTAGACCAGAGTCATAAAACTGCTGGCTTTGCATTGAATTATGGTCGAGTGAATCCGAGGATGAGTAAGCCGCCAATCCAGCTGGACGATGGATATTACGAGGCAACCGTTCTTTGTTTAGAGGCGGTGTTGCAGGAGTGTCCTCTAGATGGTACTCGACTTTTGCTTTCTAATCAAAGATTTTCAGAGGAATTAGTGACTAATCACAGGTTTAGTTGTCAACCCGATTTAGTGAAAAAAGCTAACCTCGTCTTCCGATCTAGGGGGCGTAGGGAGCGGGAAAGCTTGGCGGCTTAGTTTTTGAACATTGTAAAGTTCCATTACTTTGTCATAGTTATCTGCCCACCATCGTTGAGCTTGTAACTTGTTGAACATGTCTCGGCTAATCAAAGACAAATCAAAAATCCAAAACAAAAGTTAAGACACACATACATTTTGGAAACATGCTAATTTTCTTCAAAATGCTACTAGGAAAAAGGTCATGATCAAATTACAGCAGTCCAAGAGCAGGAGATGAAAGATTGAAAAGCCTAACTCAAGAAATGACTTTAGTAAATGTCATAGTAAGAGATTGTCAGACTAATCCTAGTAATTATTATTACCAGCTTAAAATTAGCAGTGACCAAAAGTATAATGTATGTTTAATTGGCTCACATTGATTTTCTGACACATGAGATTCTAAGGCAATTGTAATGGTTACATAAAATATTAGTAAAGAAGTGACTTTAACCAGAACCAGAGGACCAAAGTGGGCATTAACGAAGGCGGATTAAAGGGAGATTAGACAAAATAAAAATAGCTAATTCAATAGAACCTTTTGACAATTGAACACATATAGGCTAAGGGACTAAGAAAGAGAGTTGAAAACAGGAGACACAAATACAACCTTTTGAAACTTGGAAATAATTTTTTTTTTTGTTAGGGTCTAACTTGATGGTAGGCTGATGATAGTAATAAATAATCAATCAAAAATTTCGTAGAAATAAAGAAAAAAGACATGGACGAAGAAATAGCGACAACAATGGTCAAAGCTAATAATTAAGAAATATGATTGTGGCCTACACAGTAAAAGAAAATAATGGTGGAGGTGGGTAGGAGAGAATTTCTCCAAGCAAACTCAATTTTTAATTTAGTTTATTTTTGTGTACCAAATTACCAATATCGAAACTAAACAAAACAAAAAACACATGTAACAGAGGACTCAATCTAACCACACATTATTATGCCCTCAGGAACTAAACTGATCGAAAAAGGAAACCAATAGTCAATAGAGAGCAAAAAGAAAGAGAAGGTTTTGACAAAACAGACAGTGAGTGCTAGAACTAGAAGTGTGAATAATATGAAAAAAGACAAAGAATCGAACTAAGGAAGAGACAAAATACGTTGAAGTTGTCTTGTCGTTATCAATAGGCGACATAGGAGGAGTGAACAAAACTGTGCTAAAGAGGCTAAAGCTATTTGCTTTGTTTTATTTATAATATATCTTTTTGTCTTTTAGAGTAATATATAGTAGTAGTACTACTTTTTTGTCTTTTGGAATAATAATAAGAAGAACCATATTTTTCTATGCTCCAACAACAGCAATAATGTGATTAGCGGACAAAGACGCGGAGAATAAGGAATCAATAAAAAAAAAATCTTTATTTATTAGAAAAACGTTAAAAAGTATAGGTGAAAAATTATTATATGATTAACATGTACCAAACAATGATTTGGAATGTTTGATTAAACAAAAAATAAAGAAAGAAACATTTGTAACATCTAACAACTCTATAAAGAATTAAGTTAGTAACGAGTGATTTTTTAATACCATGTAATATGACTGATAATTCATATGTTTAAGAACAATTTTGAAGAAAACAAACAGAGGAGAAGAAATGATTATCAGTGAAATAAGTTTATATTGAAAAAAGCAAAAAACAAAAGACAGAATGAGAAGAGATGACCCAAGAAAGCACTTAAAAAAGGAGACACCCAATTTTGCTTTTTGGACCTTTACGGCCTTTGCTTCTCATTAGGCGTGAAGCGTTACTGTCGACAACTCTGGCCCCATTCTCTATTTTTTTACCTACTTTTTTCTCATTTTCACACTCAGAAATTACCCTTCTTCTATTTTTTTATTAGGTTAATAATTTTTTTTAAAAAAAATTTAACCTCAGACAATGCAATTTTACTCGATTTAATTTAGTTTAGAAATAAACCAAAATTATTTGATGACTTTTTTACTCGATTTAATTCTAACTATTTTGTTTTATTTTCCCTACATAAACATGATCCAAATGAATTAAAAACATACATGAAACAAGATCAAACTTGGGCCCTGTTATTTTATCTCCTACAGAAATTTGCAATATTCAATTTGTAAATTCGAGATACTATATTATTTTAAAAATATTAGTAGTAGATTTTCTACAAAAGACATGGCATGATTGTTAGATTCGTATGCTGATATGCTCTAGTATTTTAGTTATTATCAAGTATCAGTATATTGCCTAGACATGGAAATCCACAAAACATATTTCGTCTACGCTAAAATTTCAGTATAATTGAAAAAAAAAAATCAGTCTACTGATATTAATATTTATTATCAAGAAAACAGCTGCATTCATGTCTTTCTTGGTTTGCACTGATTTTATGATTAAAAAGAAAATAAGAGATCAGATTCAGTTGTGTTCCTCAGAATCAAAACATTCTCACAAAATCACGACCAAAACAAAACGTGCTTAAAAAAAAAAACGAGCCAACGACGAAGCTAAACTAAAACTCACCGTACGATCAAATAACAGAGTCAACAAAAGAATCATAACCGTAGGATGAAGTAAGGTGCATAGTAACGTACCTGAAACGTATCCGCTTGAGATCGTTACCACCGCCGGGAAGAGAAACGAAGGTTATGAGAACTCCGGGCTCAACCTGAGCAACCCATTCTTTAGGCTCTTTCTCCTCCACAAACACAATCGGGTCGACCCGGTTTCTCCCACTCGCCGATTTCGGAGTCGCTTCACCGCTCGATATGCCTTTAAGCCTCGCTTCCATCTCCTTCCCCCAAACCCTAGGCTGTTGCTGCGTCGCTGCCGCCGCCGCCGTAGATGTGATCGAACTGTTTGATCTTCCGTACAACATTTTAAACCGTTGATCCGATTCGAAATCCGACTTTACCGACGACGTTGACGGATTGGTCTTGATCGGACCCTGTCCTTGTCCCTGACCTTGCGCCGCCGTACACGGCGTACAATGCCGGTAAGCTCCTGATGCTTTAAGAGCCATATCTTTGAGCTGAGATTGAATTGACGAAAATACCCTCAATCAGAAGAGAGAATTACGAAAATGGAGACGAAGGAGGAGAGTGAGTGAATTTAATTTACCTGAGATGTTAGAGATTTGGCGTGTTTAGAATCTGGATCGTCGGGTTGACCGGAGGATTCATCGTCGGCTCGTTTTGAACGAGGTATACACGTCAGCATTTTCCGGCGACTGGCTTGGTCTTTGATTTGATTTGTTTTTTCTCTTTTTGGATACGGAGAGAGAGAGACAGAGATGGTGTCAGTTTCTTCTACTTTGGTTTGGGTTTGGTGCGAACTCTTTTTAAGTTTTATTCTCTCTTTTTTTTTTTCCTAATATTTTTATATATTTCCGTTTAAGAAACTTTAAACCGGGATTACCGGTTCCGCGTCTCTCTACGGTAATTACGCAATTCGGTGGATAAAATTTCGAAAGTAAAAAAAGTAAAAAAGGTTAAAAGTTTTGGTCTAGCATAAGGTTAACCATTTTTGTTTGATTACTGATTAGCTAAACTTGTCCAGAGGTTAGACTTTATACATATTGTGGTTTGTGGATTCGAACTTTCAGAGGTATCAAAGGTCGTTCTTCATACTCAAGTAGCCAAGTGTGCTGCGAGATTTGAATTAATCGATATGTATGCAGAATCTGACTCTGACTTTTGAGAAACCTAAAACGAAAGAAATTATTATGTGTGGCTCTGATCTATGTCACAATAATAAAAGTTGTTCTTAGCATTATTCATTAAATGTGTAATGTTGTGTGTTGTTCATAACGCTTCTGATGGCAATTCATTGACATTTAATTTAAGGATAGCAATATGTTCCGTCCGACAAGATTAATGTATGAGATGTCTTCGTCTACATTACATTTCAAGTGAATGATGATGATCCATCGACTTGAAAATTAATAGTGTGCAAGTATTTTTTATATAAACGATCCATTTATTTTTCATTCATAACATACCAAAATTCGCAAGCACTTATCATTTTTCACATAGAAACTATTATCTGAAAATAATTCGATCAACTTTCGCTTTCAATCTTTCAAAGTTTTTGATACGCCCCTTTCAAGCCTAAGTACTATTGGCACTTAAAATTAAACACTCGTTCTTTGACTACTTTTCTTTGTTTTGTTGTAAATTTGGTAATATACTAAACTAAAAATGAAAATGTTTTGGCAAAGGGTGGTCCAAGACTTGTTTAGTTACAAACAACACTTCCATATTTTTAATTTATTCGACCAGCCACTATGGTCTTGCTATCGATTTGAGTGTCAATAACCTTTCTGAAACATTATACTAGCTAGGGTCACTGAGATTAATTGGTCTCTTCTCTACTTTTAGTATTTCATATACAAATTTGTATGTACCAAGATCTTATCCACAAAATTTTGTTTATCCCAAAACTATTATTATAATATTAAAGAGGTCAAAATGGTTTGAGATTGTTTACAATATATTCAAGAGTTTTTGCTAAGTATCTTATAACATTTTAAAATGCATGACAATGATTCGACTTAACTCATTTAAACAAATAACTTCGCGATACAAACAAAAATCATCAACTATCTAGCGTTGTGATTCATCAGAAAGATTGTTTTCTGGATTGAAGGGAGATGAACCATGTATTTTGGGGTTTCCATATAAATGGAACTTGGCCGCGAAAAAAAAAGATGTATTTTGATATCTCTTCGAATAAACCTATAATTCTTATTTCAATTGCATAAACTTTTGATCTTCAAAACCGTAATAAGTGCATGTTTGGTTTACGGTTCAATTAGGTCCAATCGGGGTAACCCGGAATCACATAGTTTATAGTTATTTTTTATTGTAAATATAATCGTATATATAAATAAATATATGTGTGTGATTAAGGATTAAATTATATGAAAGATATAATATTCTTTAATTGGTGAAAAAATATTCTTTAACCAAAATATTACAAGATTAAAACCTAATATTCTTTAGTATTGAAATCTAATACTATTATTTGAACAATACGTTTATTCACATGGGTAGAGAATTTACAAGTATTTACGGAAAATGCTATTAGGTTATAATTTTTTGATGAAATAAAATGTACACATTCAAAAGGACGCGAATCTTTTAACCTGGTAATCATGTATTCGGATCTTGACGATATAATCCTGGCCATTGATACAAGAAATTCACCTTGACCCGTTTTGACTCGGGTTTTATTTGGGAAAGTTATGTGAGATTGTTCTTTCCCTCCGTTACTTCATCTTTCAGTCTTGTATCATATATGAATTGGAGATAATCAAGGTGAGCGGACTGGGAGAGAAGCTGGTGTATGGACTGTCCTAGTTCATGATAATGACGTTTGTGTTCATATTACAAATGTTATCAGCGGGTAGAAAGAGATACGAGACGGATCTCCAGCTTATTTAGAGGCTTACAAAGATGACTCTCTTCCTACTAATGGTGGTGATAGTAGCGTTGCTGAGTCAGTTTTGCAATCTTGCATTATCCGATATTATTGTTTTGCCGTTGGCCTTTCTGCCAACAGAATGGGCACTGCTCCAGATTTCGCAAGTGGGGAGACTATTGATGAAAGTGTTAGGCTTGTGGGAGTTGGTCAAGATGGTTGCAAGGTTTTATGATTGCCTGATGGGACTTGTCATCCTCTTTCTTGTAATAGTCTGTTCATGGTTCTCATCGGTCTCGGAGTTTCAGACTCGCTTTTACACGAATTGATATGATACACATACTATTTTTGATATAATGTCGTTAGGCTTTTATCTACTAAGATGGAGTGTGTACTATTCAAAGCCATTTTATTATGATGAAATATATAATTAAATTGTATTGTAAAATTGAATGTGTAAGATTTAAATTTGGTTTAAAATAAAAACTACTAGACTAAATATAGAAAAAGTTTGTGGGTTATTATTTAGAATGAGGTTGACTAATTCATTTTTTTTGCTCTTATCTATTAAGATGGAGTGTGTAGAATTAAGATCAGTATCTAGAATTAAAATCTAGATTATTATCATGAAATAAATATTTAAATTGTATTGCAAAATAGAAATATGTAAAATTAGAATACGGTTAAAGATAGTTAGATTTAGAAAAAAAATCTCAAATACCTCCAAATTAAAAAAAAAATCAACTAAAACCTCCAAATTGAAAATATCTTCCAATTAAAACCTCATATTAGTTTTCGTTCCCATATAAAACCTCCAACTAATTAATTTTGTCTAAATAAACATTTAAGTTGTCAAATATGAGCTCGAACAGTAGTTGACTAATGGTCAAGATAATTTCGATCAGAATAGTAAACGACCATTGATGACATATATATATATTGGTTTATTTAGTTTCTAAAGTGTATATAAACCCTAAAAATTAGAAAAATGTATTCTAGAGTTTGTAATAAACATTTTTATCTTTACTATTGTGACTAACACATGTGAATTTCGAAAACTAAATAAACGGAAAAATATGTCATTAAAGGCCGTTTATCGTTAGTCAACCACTGATCGGATTCAAATTTGATTAGAAATTAAAATACGTATATTACTATTTGGAATTCAAATATTATAAAAAATTATGTTTATTTTTTGCACCCACCTATTTAGGCAGCCTTATCACTTCAAAAATTATGTCTAATATATGAATTCACTTCAAATTTAACCATCTATAAACCACTAAAAACATAATAGTCAAATCGTTTAACAAAATTTTCCAATCGCCTCCTGCTTAGTACAACCAGAAAGAAAGAATGCAGAGTAAGGCCGCCTCTCAAACTGGGTTTGAGTTTAGCGTATAGATGGGCTTTAGTTTAGGCCCAGTGAAACCCTGTCTCTTTCCTTCTCACCTGTAAAAAAAAAAGCTCCACGAGAGAAACAGATAGAAAGTTGCAAAAGTGCGTTCGATTTTTGCTTCTTCTTCTGTTTCGGATTCCGATTTGGATTTGGAATCTGCTTCTTTAGCAGAAACAAACAGAGGAAATGGTGACCTATGTGAGCGCGTTGTTCTACGGAGTAGGAGGAATAGTCGTCGCCGGAGTTGCTCTGCTCGTGGCTTTCCAGGAGAAGCTTGTATACGTCCCAGTGCTTCCAGGCTTAAGCAAGTCTTATCCGATCACTCCTGCTAGGCTCAATCTCATTTACGAAGACGTTTGGCTTCAATCATCCGATGGTGTTCGCCTCCACGCTTGGTTCATCAAGATGTTCCCCGAATGTCGAGGTCCCTACTCTCTTTGATTATTGATTCTCGTCTCGATATTGCTCATCGATTCAGTATTTTTTTGGGTAGATTTGATTTATGCATTTCTGAAAAAGTTTCTGAATTTTGGGGATTTTAGGTCTTTGATGTCTCTTTCTTTAGCTAGGTTTTGTTTTCCTTTTCTCAGATTTGTGATCTCTAAGTTATTTTCGCTTTTAAAGTAGTTTTGAACTTATCTGTCACCTGAAATCTAGTTGATAGATATATGTCTCAAACTGCTTTTGGTTGGTAGCTTTAGCTTAATTCGAGCGAGTTTAAGGCTTCGAGTTCTAATAGTTTAATGTTTGTTATGCAGGTCCAACCATTTTATTTTTCCAGGAGAATGCTGGAAGTATCCTTTCCAGAGCCATTTCTTGGTTTTTGTTTGTTTATATGTATGAGTTTCTGTGTCTTGTCTACCTATTTTATGTTCCATGTATGTTAGCTGGGATTCTTTGCCTTGTAACGGCCTTGACCTTTAAACCCCAGACATTGCTCATCGTTTGGAGATGGTTCGCATCATGATACAGAAATTGAAGTGCAATGTATTCATGCTTTCATATCGTGGGTTAGTTGGTTTATGGTCTATCTCTTATCTAAACATTGGATTTGTTTATACAACTGGTATTGATTTTCCTGTGCAACCAGCTATGGGGCAAGTGAAGGCTATCCTTCACAGCAAGGAATCATAAAAGATGCTCAGGTTTGCTTGTTTCCCTAAATCTTTCCACATATCTCTTCTGTTGCGTCTCCATGTATTCATTATCCAGTTTCTTGCCTGATACTTTTGTTAGGCTGCATTGGATCACCTTTCTGGAAGGACTGACATTGATACATCTAGGATAGTTGTATTTGGAAGGTCCCTTGGGGGAGCTGTTGGAGCTGTGCTTACCAAAAACAATCCAGATAAGGTAATATTAGTAAATATTCTTATCAGCAGGATTTCGTGAGTAGAGAAAATGTACATTTTAGAAGAAGAGAGAAGGGATAGGCCAAGTACCAGCCGCCAGCACTGTGGATGTTACTGTTTTAAGGGAGTAGTATTATACTATTATTGAGAGTTTCACATGGTTACGACTTACAAATGAGACTAATAAATGCCTTAAAATTATAAGGCCTAACTGCACCCTCTTCTCTCTTCTAGGGGCTTGGTTTCGATGGTTTCTTATCAGTAACTTAATGAGATTCTGGTTAGTGTTGAAAATTGTTATAGCTCATAGTCTTTGGCAGATGACCTGGATCCATCGTATAAAAGTTTCTAGAGTAACTCTTTATTTAGATTCTAGTCACTTGTCATCAGTAACAATCTACTCGGTTAGTTCTATCTGAATATAATTATTTATTGTGTTAAAGTTTTAGTCATCTGGCAATAAAAGTAACTGTTGATATGGGGATTCGTTTGAACTTTGTTTTTGGCCTCCTTTTATCACCCCCACTGAAATTTACTGTTATATGCACAAGAACCTTAACCTTCTCAGAGAATTTCTTGGTAAATGAAATTTGTAGATGCCTTGATTAAGCTACATATTATTTTTGTTCTTGTTGTTTCTACTTCCAGTATTTCATTTGATATCCACACGCCTTTTAGTTGTATGTATACCATTTCTAAATGTTCCTATATAGGTATCTGCATTGATTCTGGAAAATACTTTCACATCCATTCTTGATATGGCTGGCGTTTTGCTGCCCTTCTTGAAGTGGTTTATTGGAGGAAGTGGTACGAAAAGCCTGAAGCTTCTAAATTTTGTTGTACGTTCCCCCTGGAAAACAATTGATGCTATTGCTGAGGTAAGAAGCAAATGTAGACTCTTGCAGAGTTATGTTAGATGGATTCTTTTCGTGTACAGTTTGCATATGGCCATAAATGACTCAAACAAGCAAAAAACATTATGGTACCTTACAGACCTCGCTGGCATATGAATATATCTCATGCATTTGCATTCCCTTTAACGGGACATAGTGTATATATCTTTGCGGAATATGTTGAAGTTTCTATTCATTATAGCTAGCCCAACTATCAAATTAATCATGTATTAGCGCGAGCTGATTGATTGCTCTCTGATTTGTTCTATGGATTAAAACTTGAAAGGAAATAAGGAGGGAGCTTGATGTCCTGTAAAAAACACATCCTTGTTAGAACAATGTCTCATCATTTGATATTCTGTAGCAACCTGTGATATCTTGCAACAATGACAGGTCAAACAACCAGTGCTTTTCCTCTCTGGGCTGCAAGATGAGATGGTCCCTCCATTTCACATGAAAATGCTGTATGCAAAAGCAGCTGCCCGTAACCCTCAGTGCACATTTGTGGAGTTTCCAAGTGGGATGCATATGGATACATGGCTGTCGGGTGGTGAGGTTTACTGGAAAACAAACATGCAGTTTCTTGAAAAGCATGCGCCTGAGAAAAGGAAAGACGATACAGGTAAGATTATCTCCTAACTTTCGGGAACAATTTTGTTTTACAGAGATGTTTCTTGAGATATTTTGTTAACAAAGTAGAACACTTGTCTCAAATCTGATGACAGGAAGGTAACGAGTGACAATGCTGTGTTTAGAGGAAGATTCGACTCACTTAGCTCCTATTGCAACCTGGAACGACAGTATTGTTATAAGCATGTGTATACTCGTATGTTGCATTTGGGAGTGACAGATACAACTTGTTCAGGGAGTGAGATATTGGACAGGAACTTTGTAAGGAGAACCAGCTAGTGGAGATGGCAAGTGTAAGCTAATCAGATGCATTTGCTTCGTCTCAGTTTTCCCTTTTTTTTTTTTTTGGGGTTATTTTTTCCAATTGTTGTTGGTGTTTTTCATCTGATAGTACAATTTCCTCTGGATGATCATTGCGTTGTAGATGATTGAGAAAAGTGAAAAAGACATGGTTATATGATTAAATCTTGAATGTGTTGATTCATATATTTTCTCGCATATATATTGTATAAATCCAAAGATCTTTAAAACAAATTTTTCAGTTTTGAGAACCAACATCGAGGAGTTTGGTGAAATCTGTAGAGTGATTTTCTTTTTCTGACAAACTTGATTCTTGTTTAAAATGAGATAACACCAGAATTAAGCGCACGAAGACCATTTAGTCAGAATTGATTATCATGGTTGTGCATAGTCTCTAGTGGCATTTATTCTTATACCAAATGAGTATCATCATGAAAGTAAATCACTAAAATTCTTGTCTTTTTTATTTAATTTTTTTTTCTGTGTGTGAAAAAGAAGTGTTGTGTTGTGTCGGGTCCGTCACGGTCCACGGAGCAACTTTTTCGTCTTGATTCAGTTTTCTTACTTTATCACTTCAAACAAAAAAAATTCTGCTTTTAAAAAAAAGAACCAAACCTCGCTATCAAAGCCCGCTCTTTCATCGTTTCTGAGAGAGACGGACATGGAAGGAGGAGCTTCGCACTACAGCCCTCGAACTGTCGAAGAAGTCTTTCGAGATTTCAAGGGCCGTCGAGCTGGCATCATCCAAGCTCTCACCACTGGTATTCTTCTTTCTTCTCTTTGCTTTTTAAAGTTTGAAACTTTTTCTTATGGGTTTTGAATTTTGCATGGAAATTCTGCTCATAACGATCGTTTGTTGGCTTGATTTAGAGATTTTTATTAAACAATTGTGGTCTAGTGTTATGGATTGTGTTGATGATGCTTAGTTTTTCGATGTAAGAACAGTTTTCTTATTAATTCACTTGTTTCTTTTTTTGCAGACGTGGAAGATTTTTTCCAGCAATGCGACCCTGGTTAGGGTTTTTCTCCCTCTCTCGCTCTCTATATCCTTAAATATGCTCCGTGGTTTCTCTCAAGCTGTTTCGTTTATTCCTGATTTTGAATTCTGTGTTCCCGTTAACTCCTTTAATGCTTATGGTTTCTCGTTTATAGGAGTTTCTTTTCTAGTGATTCCTTATTATGATGTGGACATGTGGTTAATGTACAGCTTTGCTTTTAGTATAAGTTGAGATGGGAACAGAGGCTTATCCACACTGAAAATTATAAGATCTTGCTTTGCTGCTTACATGTGTTTTGATACTGGTGACTGACTGATTATGTTGAACATTTGAACAACGTTTCTATCGAGTTCGTTGGTTTGGTCTTCCTGTGACCTATATAGTTTTTCCGCATTTGGTGCTGTTATCTTTCTCTGCACTTTTATATCTCGCTTTTGACTTCATGCTTTGTGGCTTCATTGACACAAGAGGTTGCATGTCTCTAAGCATTATGAAAATTTTTGTAGCTCTAAACCATGTTTTTGTTAGTTAGGAGGAAGATATTAATTTAATAAACATGATTTCTTTATTGATTAAGAAATACAAGCTGCTCGGTCTTGACTATGTAGCTAAATATCGTTTTCGGATTGCTTACTCTGCTAATTGAGTTGAGTTGATAAACTGAAGTTTGTATTGTATGACTATTTAATGACATTTCAGAGAAGGAGAATCTTTGCTTGTATGGATTCCCAAATGAAGTGTGGGAAGTTAACTTACCAGCTGAAGAAGTGCCTCCTGAGCTTCCCGAACCTGCACTCGGCATTAACTTTGCCAGAGATGGGATGCAGGAAAAAGATTGGCTTTCTCTCGTTGCTGTCCACAGTGATGCGTGGTTACTTTCTGTGTCCTTTTACTTTGGTTCAAGAATTGGTTTTGATAGAGCTGACAGGTATCATCCTTTCTTTCTTGATTGGTTTGTATTCTCTTCTAACCTTGTCTTCATTGTTTAATATCTTCTCTGCTCATTTCTCTACCATTAATTATCATGATATCTCTAGCATTTTCATACTAACCCGTACACTTACCAATTCAGGAAGCGCTTGTTCAACATGATAAACGAGGTTCCTACTGTATTTGAAGTTGTAACTGGAAATGAGAAGAAACAAACAAAGGAAAAGCCCTCTTCAGCAAATCAAAATGGCAACAGATCCAAGTCAAATTCAAAAGTGGTAAGACTCATGCTGTCCTTTAATAAGATTTAGAACATTAATTCCTTTATTTATTAAGTATGAACTAAGAACAAATCAGATTTCTTTATTTACTATGAACATTAATTCCTATGCCACTCATCCAAACCCTTTGTCAACTCAATATCGTGATCCTATCACCTTCGGTTCTCTATATAACTCCTCCATAGTACACTAACAGATTGTAGCTGACAACTCAATTACAATCCTACAGAAAAAGGTCTATGATAGTTAATAGACGATATCCTAATTTTTTTGCGGAAATAGCTCTTGTTCCATCCTTAAACTTTCTAAATAGCTTCTTTTCGATACTCAGCTTCGTGCTTCGTCTACTCTTATCATTTTTTCTTTGTTTTGCAGTTTTTCAGAAATTAGGAATGGTTAAATGGATATTCAATAAAGCACAGCACTGGCATATGTTATTCACATCGTAAAGGGTTCAACCAATAAATGGCATTTTCATATCCAGTCATTACACAATCTTGGAAGTCTCTTTAGAGTAGCTACTACACAATTCAATTCAATTCTAACAGAACACCATGATTTCTAACTTTTTAAAAGACACGTTTGGAAGTGCTTGAACATTGAAAAAATGGTTTCTTTATAGTTCTATGGTAGTTTTTCCCTCTTATATTATAACTACATATACTTATGTATCAGATAACACAACCATATTTGATCAGGGTTAAAGTATCAGAAACTTTTTTTTTTGGTGCTTTAAGGTTACTGTTGTAGCTTACCTACTTCTCTTTTTCTGCTTACCTCGAGCATTGTTAAACACATGAATAAGGTATGATGCACAATTTTGTTCCTTAAACATCTTTTTCATCATATGCATTATAGATTTTGTGAGATCTTACACAGTTTGCTATTGAGTTCTAAAACATAGACTGAACACAACTTTCTTACTTCCGTACGTAGTTTGTGAATCGTGTGGCATAAGAAACCTCTAGGTTGAGGCAGAACAAAGATGGGCTGTGTCTTTATTGCAGTCATATAAGCGACAGGTCTGGAATCACTGGATCAATATGCAATGAAGTGGCCGAGTTTACCGATCCAATGACACTTGTTGATTACTTTTTTAAGTTTACACTCTGCTATTTTGGTGTAGTTAATATATTCCTTGATCTGGAATGCAGAGAGGTTTAGAAGGTAAAAGTTCAAAGACAATACAGGCCAAGGACGAGGAAGAAGGATTAGAGTTAGAGGAAGGGGAAGAGGAAGAGGAAGAGGATGAAGATGAACACGGTGAAACCCTATGTGGAGCTTGTGGAGATAACTATGCTTCTGATGAATTCTGGATTTGCTGTGACATGTGCGAGAAATGGTTCCACGGGAAGTGTGTGAAGATCACTCCAGCTAGAGCTGAGCACATCAAACATTATAAGTGCCCTTCTTGCAGCAACAAAAGAGCACGACCCTAGATTTTTTATTTTCACTAGTCTTAGCTACTATCTATGTAACCCCCAAACTGTACAATGCACTTAAAGTTTGTTTGTTGTGCAGACAAGTAGATTGGAAACATATCCCAGACTTGAGTCCTCAACCCAACTTTGTATTACTCAGCTTGTAGTCTTTGATACGATATGTTTCACAAGGCATGATCAATCTGCTGAACCAATACAAATTTCGTACAACTGGAAATTGAATTGCTTACACCTAAAACATGACAGATAGTGTTATCAATTCTTCCAACTATATTCAACCTAGAGTTCAGCATTTTTGTTTCCGGAAACACCAAGAAGCTTGGCCAGTTCACCGCTCTCATAGGCATCTACGGTATCTGAAAACCAGAAACAAAGATAAATCCATCAATCAGCAAATGTTGTCACAAGCAAAGACGTTTTCTTGAAGGAGAAAGAGAAGTATACCGTCTGATCCTCCAATGTGTTTTCCGTCAATGAAGACCTGCGGTACTGTTCGCCTTCCAACAATCTCTCCAAGTGCAGTCTGGATGCTCCACCCATCTTCTGCAAGACCCAAATTTAACCAACCATTAGTAACAAACGAATCTTCTATATAGTGATCCGACAAAGTTTCAAATAACAGAAATGTATGAGACTCAGGATCTCATGGCAAAAAGAGGTAAGAAACATAGTTGGATGCCCTTATAACCTTAAAACACACCTCTTTCATCAAGCTCGACAACATAAGGAACTTGATCCAGCTCTCTGAACACGGATTTAGCTTTCCTGCAATAGCTGTTGACCAAACCACACAAGAAAGCAGAGGAAAAGTAAAGATGGGGTCATACATAAGGTACATGTTCTCTCTACATAACTCAAATAAGGCTAAAGGAAAAGCAAAGAGAACAAATACTGAGAACTGAACCTGAATATTTTGAACAAAACCCAAAATTGATTTCAACATATTCTCCATATAAATGTAGCTTAACAACCATTTGTAAACAGATATAACAAAGTTGTTTCATAAAAATACCAATCTAACGAATACAATACAAAAGGAAGAGTCATGAAAACAAGTTCATTGAATTTATGTCCTCACTCAAGTTTCAATTAATAATATCTAAAAAACAAAATCGCAAATTGAAGACACCAAAGATCCAAATTTTATGAAAATATCAAGATCAGTGATGGAAATAGCCACAGAGAGAGAGTGGATTAGGAGACATACGGGCAGTAGGATTTGGAGAAGATGACGATCTTGTGGGAAGAGATGGTCTTCTTAACAAAGTCGGCTTCTGGGGAAGAAGCAGAAGAAGAAACCATAGAAATGAATGTGACGAGCAACATTACCATCGAGATAGATCTAAGCATTGTCATGGCTCCTTTCTTCTTCTTCTTCTTCTCACTCAGATGCCGATTGAAGAAGATGACTTGCAGGATCCAACTAAGTAGGTGTGTTGTGGCGGGTACGGTTTAACCCGGCCCGTCTAAATATGGGTCGTATTAAAGCCCAAATCAAGGTTATTGTTTCAGCCCAACCAAAAACATATTACATTTTCAGAGTATATAGACCATAGAGGATGATAATGATAATAATGACATGACCAAAGCTAGTATTAGACGTCTTAATTAACACCATCTTGCGGGTTCAAATTGATTTCCCCTAGACTAGAAAATCATGCATCATCCCATAAACTAAATTAATATTTGTGACACATCGGTTTTGAATAAATGAGTCGAATCATTTTTAAACATGCTTCACAAGTTATATCCTATTTAAAAAAGAAGGGAATTTCAAAAACAGAAACGCTCATAAGAATTTAAAATATTTCCACATCTAACTAATCCACTAACGAAGACTAATAGCTAAATAATGAATTAGAGACAAATTAGCCATAATTTACTCTTAATAAAAAGGGGATAAAAGTGTAAAAATGAGAAATTCAAAGGGCAGAGACAAAAAAAAAGATGTTTTTTTATTTACCAACAATTTTCGTTGTCTGTGTCTAGACTCAAGAGTGTGGGTGGCTGACCACGAATGTGAATGTCCAACTCGATCCACCTCCCTTCTCTCACTGGACCCCACTTGACCAATCTCAATTCTCAAGCACCAATTTTTTTTTTGAAAAAAATAAACACAATAATAATTAAAAATAAAAAAAGTGTTAGAGAGAGAGAGAAAGAAAAACACAGCTCAAAAGAGAACATTGTTGCTCGAGGAGAGAGAGAAAAAAAAAAAGCCATTAGAAGAACGTCGTCTGCAAGAAGAAGGCCAAGTCCAGCTTCTTTCTTCTTCAACAATCATCAGCTTTCTTGAGAGAGATTAAAAATTCATTCAGATTCAGCTTTTTTGAAAAGATTTGTTGGCTCCGTTAAATCCGATCTCCCGATTTCTCCGTGTCTGCTTTGAGCTGACTTCAAGCAGAATTTTTCAGACCACCAACTCCAGAATCTGCCCGATCTGATTCGTCTCGTTGCCTGACTCGCTGAGTCAGCTTTCTGCAAAATCGGTCTCTATTGGATGAGTTAACTGGGAAAAAGAGAGGATCTATTGCAAAAAAAAAGAGTTGCCATGGTAATATCATAGAGATCATCATCCGATTGCTTATTGTATTTTCTTAAATGGGTTTATGTTGGATTTCAATCAAGTAAACGGATTTTGATATTTTTTTGACAATTTTCCGATTTGGTGTTCGTTAGTAGAGAGATATCTTTGTATGAGATTTGCGTTTTGTTTTGGATCCCTACTTCGTCTTCCCATAAACACGAGAGATTCTCAATCCACCTATAGTAGAAAAGTTGAAATTTTTGTAGGGGAACTTTACACAGTTTTATTTGAAAGGTAAGGTTCAAGTTCTATAGAAGTTGGACCATTTCATATATCTTAAAATTCATTTCTTGGACTATCATTTCCTATTTACCATTTTACTTAGCGGCTCTCATCATTTTAGATTACTTCTTCAAGTGAGACCATTTCGAAAAAAAATTACATAAGTTTTATTTGATAAAGACTGAAGATTTAGTTTCCTGAATTAAGATTTAATTGCTTGATTCATTATAAGGAAACTGGGGGAAATGCACAGTGTTAGTATATCTTTCTTGTGTTTGGAAGTGAGTGTTGTCTCTAGTTTTTAGCAAACATGCCTTGAAGACTATCTATGTTTCTTACGAGCTTTAGAAAATCTTCTGCATTCTTGATAGAAAGTTCTTCTCCTGGTTTTGCGGAATTTTTATTTTATAACATTAATTACTTTCGGTTTAGGTTTAGGTTAGTTTGTCTGGTGCCATCTAGTTAAACTTGTTGAACTGATGATATTTGGTATTTGAAAGAGGCAATGTTTTCTTACTTCCTGCTCTATAGCTTTCATCGCTTCTTTGATGTTACACTTATAGTCCACCCAAGAATCCATAAACTTATGTAACAGCTTGTGTGAGGTTATTAAAATCTGTGTACCTCACATGTCCAATATTTATATCTTGTAGGTTGGCCCAGTCAATATAATAGTTGGTTCTCATGTTTGGATTGAAGATCCAGGAGCGGCATGGATTGATGGTGAGGTTGTCAAAATTAATGGCGAAGAAGTTCATGCACAGACCACAAATGGAAAGACCGTAAGTTGTCAATCCTCCTCCGATGCTTTTGCATGTAATATTCCTTTTGAGAAAGAATGTCACTGGATAGGGTGTTTCTGCTAAGGGTGTCTGTTAAACTTTGAGCAAAATGTCACTAGTCCTCTAACTTCTTTCCCTGTGGATACTGGTGTTACTGCTCTAACATATGATGCATGACATTGACATCCCTATTTCATAATTATATTACAATCATTGAAACCAGATATTGTATCAATCAATCAATGAAATTTAATTTCAGGTTGTGGCCAATATCGCAAACGTATTTCCAAAGGATACAGAGGCTCCACCTGGGGGTGTTGATGACATGACAAAGCTCTCATATTTACATGAACCAGGTGTTTTGAATAACTTGGCCATGAGATATGAGTTGAACGAAATTTATGTAAGCCGTTATGCATTTTCTGCACTGTGTACTTGTGGAATCACATATTGAGTTCCGAGGCAGTAATTCCTAAATATTTCCCCTTAAAATGTGTTCGCAGACATATACTGGCAACATCTTGATTGCTGTAAATCCATTTCAAAGGTTACCACATCTCTATGATACTCATATGATGGAGCAGTATAAAGGAGCAGGTTTTGGGGAATTAAGCCCCCATGTGTTTGCAATTGCAGAAGTGGCTTACAGGTAATTAAGCCCAATCAATGAATCCACGAGCAGAAATTCTCTTAGTCACTCTTTATTAGTACATTTCTCATGCTAGTCTATTGCTTCTCTGGGTAGGGCAATGATCAATGAGGGCAAGAGCAACTCAATTCTGGTAAGTGGGGAAAGTGGTGCTGGTAAAACTGAGACCACTAAGATGCTTATGCGCTACCTTGCTTACCTTGGTGGTCGATCCGGCGTTGAAGGAAGGACAGTGGAACAGCAAGTTTTGGAGGTGAGGCTTCCAAAATCTATGTTTCTTTTATTTGGGCTTTGAAGCTTGTCATCGAGAAGAGTCTAAGCCTCTACACAGATACTTTTAGTTACTGCATTAATATGTTTATAGAGAGGCTTGTGATGCTAGCCTGATTCACTATTTGGTTTTGTTGTTGGTATACAGTCAAATCCAGTTCTTGAAGCTTTTGGCAACGCCAAAACTCTCAGGAATAACAACTCCAGGTACGCATGCGTATGTTTACATAAAGGGTTTTCCTACTGATCTTCTCTTGAAAAGTTGTCAATAATTGCACAGTCAAAATTGTTTTTGGCTCAAAGCTTCCTCATTCACCACTTGTCACGAAATTGTTTTCTAACTATATAACAAACCCCACGGAATCAACTGCACAGATGTACATAAGATAATTGGCTCACATATAAACCATGCTAATCTCTTGGCCTTCTTTATCTGTATTATAGAAGTTATAGTAAGCTTCATAGCAGATATCCTCATTGTAACTTTTTCTTTCAATCAAAATGCAGTCGATTTGGAAAGTTTGTCGAGCTTCAGTTTGACAACTGTGGGAGAATATCTGGAGCAGCTGTGCGAACATATTTGTTGGAAAGGTCTCGAGTGTGTCAAATATCAGATCCTGAAAGAAATTACCACTGCTTTTACCTTTTATGTGCTGCCCCACCTGAGGTATTGGTGCTACAAAATGATGCTAATATACCTTATTGTGAGGCGTTCTGCTTTAAATCACATGAATAAGTAGTTGGGGATTTCATTTATTTCCCTATCTGTAGGAAAGAGAAAAGTTCAAGTTGGGAGATCCTAAGTTATTCCACTACCTAAATCAATCGAAGTGCTATAAACTGGATGGAGTGGATGACACCGAGGAATATCTTGCTACCCGACGAGCTATGGATATTGTTGGCATCAGTGAAGAGGAACAGGTCAGTCTTCCATTTGCTCCTTGTCCAACAAGAAATGATTTCTCTGGTAGAGCATCTTATTGACCATTCTGATAATTGCTATCAGGATGCAATTTTTAGAGTTGTTGCTGCAATCCTGCATCTAGGTAATGTCAATTTTGCAAAAGGAAAAGAGATTGACTCCTCAGTTCTGAAGGATGACAAATCAAGATATCATCTTGATGTATGTGCTGAACTTCTTAGGTATGTGCAGCTTACTTGTTTAATCTCGATTTCTATCTTGTTTCTTTTTTAACATCTTTGATCCTGGACTCACTTCTTTCAAAAGGTGTGATGCAAAGAAAATGGAAGATGCATTGATAAAACGTGTAATGGTGACACCAGAAGAGGTTATTACAAGAACACTTGATCCTGATTCAGCTACGGGTAGCAGGGATGCGTTAGCAAAAACTATCTATTCACGCTTGTTTGATTGGTATAAAAAGAAACTTTCTCTCTTTAGACTTTCTGATTTGTATGTTTTATTTGTTTTTTGTTTTCACTTAGTTCACTCTTCTATAGAGGACATGTTTCAACTATTGTGTCAGTATAAATCATTGATGCATCAGCAATATGTCCGAGAAATGTCTACAATTTCTTAATATATATATATATATATTTATATATATTTCAGTTGAGCTGCCACTTGAAATTTTGCAACTTCTTAAACCCCGTATAATTTGTTTTCAGGCTTGTTGATAAAATTAACAATTCTATCGGGCAAGATCCGAATTCTAAGACAATAATTGGTGTTCTTGATATCTATGGGTTTGAAAGCTTTAAGATCAACAGGTAAAGTGTATGGCTTGCCGAATGATTTCTTCTTCTGTAATATTGTTATAGCTCTATAAATTTCTCTGTATTTTCCCCAGCTTTGAGCAGTTTTGCATCAATTTTACCAATGAAAAGCTGCAACAACATTTCAACCAGGTCCGTTGTGTTCTTACCCACTACTATC